TTCTGGACATTTATGGTTTGATTTCTTTGTATGTATGGATCACTTGGGTTGTTACCGACATCTGGTGAAAATTTCATGTCATTAGCACCTATAGTTATATATTTACTGAGAAAAATGGTGACGTGTTCAATACTTATTTTACCATCTGTATCTCATGAATCACTGGATGGTCAAATTATAATGAAATTCTAAGAAACTCAGTAGATGTAGTCCGGTAAGTGAATTTAATAAACACAAAAAGGTCCACAGCTCTTTTATACAGACGTTAGTCCATTAAAAAAATCTGTAATTTTAGACTTTTACAAGTTATTAGTCAATATACGATCCCGTTTTGTGAACAGGATCCCTTTAACTTTATTGTAATATTAGACTATTATTAGATCAAAGTATTAGTTCTCTGCTCCAACACACCTGATTGGTATAAATGAGTGATTAACAAAATTCTGCAGAAATTTTAGAGGTAATTCAGTCACTGAATCAGGTGTGTTAGAGCAGAGAAACAATTAAAACATGCAGGATGGCAGCTCTCAATGACCAGGTGCTATATAGCAGTAATTATGATTAAATGATATAAAGATCTGTTCAGTATGGATCACCTGATCTCTGCAATGGCTGCAGCTGCTTGTCCTGGACGGTTGTCGTACAGCTTCACACTGTAGCCTCCACTGATGAAAATCATGGCCCAGGAGTGGCCGATCAGCCCACTAAAACAGATAAAAATTAAATGACACTGCATCAAATTTCACTCTTTGTTAAGACGAGCTCTGAGACTGACTGCACACTCCTGTCTTCATGTCATGTTTTCACCACTCCATATTAAAAACTGCTGGAAAATAAAACTGATCTGGAGACTCTGAGGCTTATTTACAGAAAATTAAACACTGAATAACATCAACAGAATGGTAAAAATGAGACATTTTAATGTCAAATGTCAGTATTTACTTTAAAGGTTAACAGAGGAAACGAAGCTGAAGTTAGCTTCTGATTCCAGCTTCTGATTCGGGAAATGACTAAAGGGCAATTACATCAAATTTTTCACTAACTTGAGCATGTTTAATCTGCTCTAGCTCAAAACCTACAACACCTAGACTCTTCAAACCTGGACTAGATTATTCTACACTAATAGAAGAATATTYAAAAAGGTGTTGRTCTTAGGGGTGTAAGAAAATATCGATACACTGAAATATCGTTACATTTCATTTCCCGATACTGTATCGATATTCTAAAGCCCTGTATCGATTTTTTATTAAGGTTTAAAATGTCAACTTTCCTGACAGCCGTTCATTTTTATGTTGTAGTTCAGCCTCTGACCACTAGTTGGCAGCAGTGAGCCAGCCTCTTCTACCTCTTGAGCACCAGAGAGTAAGGGTAGCA